TCTCTTTGCTAACGGTATCATTCCTTCGAGACGTCACAAACTACTGTACCATGAAGCTCGTGTAAATAATGTTTAAAACTTCATCTCCTACCTCACAGAAAACACAATGCGACCAGTCAGTCATCGAGCACTTCGGTGTAGTGGTAACGATTTAGATTTGTAATCTGAAAGTGATCAGCTCGAATCTCGGGCGGGAAATTCGCTATCCTAACGGCTTTAGTGGTTTACTCGCTCTCTCTAGCCCTCGATCATACCAACCCAGTTTTCTTCCAAATCTTTTTTTTATCTGTTATTCATTAAATCATCCTATTATTCGACGCTGAGAGTCCGGACGCCTTAGTCGATATGGGCTACAGGCTGGACTGCCTGGATTCGATTCCCGCCAGTATACATTCTTATCTTATCCACAGAATCTAGACCGACTCTGGGGTCAATCCAGTCTCCTATGCAAGGGACACAGGTGCCTCTTACCCCGGGGGTAAAGCGGTAGAGGCGTGAAGGTGACCAATCACCTCCATCTAGTGCTGAGGTCAAGAATGGTGGAGCTATACATCCACTCCCCCACATGTCTTCATGGCGTAGTGTTTAATTAATTAAGCACAGGACCGATATAACCGTTTATCATTCGTCGCTGTATAGTCTAAGGTATGGAAAAGTCTTCGGATAGTAAATAAATAAATAAATGAGGACCAATCCGTTGAGACTATATCAGGAGCCAAACGCAAGTCCGTCTGCCTATCGTTTCGTACCATCCTGTGTTTCTCATACAGACTGTAACAGAAAAAAAATGTAAGGAAAAAAAACAAGAATTTCCTCTTCTAGAGACAATACCGAGAGAGCTGTCGCTTTTGCGGCTTGATGACTCCATTCGAATCGAAATCTAATGATTCTTCTCAAATCATTTCCGAGCTCAGAAAAGCACCGGGGCTGTAAAGACAGCCAGTATGTAACCTCCATCCGCTTTCACAGTAACCATGACAACGAAACGTGATCTGCAAGTCACCAAAATGGAAAGCGTGTAAGTCCTAGAGCCTAGAGAGGATGAATGTAAGTAATTACAAGGACGGGAATAGCAGTTCCTCTAACTACGGTGCGGATTTCTCGATAGCGCTACAACCTGAATGGAAATACGTGTTAAGAAAACGAAAGGAAGTAGGAAAGGACAGTGGAAGAGAGAAAAACAGCAGACAACACCGCTTAGTGTATACTGTTACATTTACTAAGCTCAGTTTCAAACTAATGAGGTTAGGTATTTTTGAAGAAATTCGTTCCTCTTTTTAATTTACAGTTAAAATTTCAATGTGTTCCGTGCTCGCAGATAAATAATCGCTACTTAGCCCACTCTAGCATTCACATACAACAAATTCTGTGAGTAAAATGCAGAGATATTTAATGTTAAACCGGCTGATACATCATGTATCGTGCGGACCCGTTGCTAAGTAATGACACTGTAAACAACGCCAGTTGCTAGGTCAACAGATTCCTAACACGCACCAATGGACTAACTCGGAAGCAGTGTTCTCTACGCGGTCTGTGCTATAGTTGCGTGACTCAACAATAGAAGAACTGTTAGAATGGTGTTTTCTGACATCTCGTCAGAGAGGATGTCACAAGAGGACTATGAAAGCAAGTGTTCAGCTTAAAAATAAATCTGGCCGTCTCAAGGGGCTTGGGGCCAAGACGAACTGATTGGCGGTAAGTCTCTAGTCGTAAGGTAACTCTGACTCTGGTTCCGGTGTTTTCTGTGCGGTCCTTGCTGATATGTTATAAGCAGACAGTCAGTGGAGTTAGTTCAGTTGAGCTGAGTGAAGTGGAGCGAGTTGGTTGGTGAGTTAGTGAGTTACAGGATTGCTGCGGTTTAGTAGTGCTGATCTGCTGCTGTTATAAACTGGTAGCTGAGGTACGGGTACAGTTCAGGAACCCAGAGTAAGGGGAACGTTCGCCATTCGAAGCCGTTACCAGGCAACGACTGGTGAAGACACAGCAGACTAGAATCTGTAGCAAATTGCAGTGTGTGTGAATAAGCGATAGCGCTATAGTTACTTATAGTTTCGTTCCCTCTGTGGCCAATAAGTCCAATAACCAATTCAACCCCCGCCTATAGTCACTCATGCTAGTGACAATAGAGTTAAGACTATATCTTAAATGGTTAAGTGTATACATGTCCCGATAAAATATGAAATGAGATACAGTGAGATTGCGCAACTGTGTTCGTGCACCTGAGGATGACTTCTTGAGGTCGAAACATGTAGTCCGACAGTAAATAAAAAACGTGTTGTGTGGTAGGTAAAATTAACTCTAATATACAGTGAGAGAAGCTAGACACATCTGCAGTAGGTAAAAGTGTGAAAAGATAGAGATGGAATAGATTGGTCGTCTAGAAAGAATGGATATTGCTAGGATCCCAGAGCAGACGAACTTGTACTGAGTTAGAGGAAAAAGAATGCCTGAAAGATCTAGGATTAGATGTTTCGAAGCTGACAGTAAAAGATAATGTGATAAAACGAAGAGATTTCAGAATTGATGCGGCTTGAATGTAAACAGACGAAAAAGCAGAGTTCCGGCTAATAAACTCTGTACCAGACTCCTGTAAACGTTTCAAACAAGAAAATGAACCTCACTCTGCTTTCATAGGAACCGATTCATGGCTTCCCGAAGGTGACTTAAGTTGCCACACAATAGATAACACCATCAGAATGGAAGGTGGATTCAGAGGGGGCCCACTGAAGAATGATTTATAGCTCAATAAATTGCATTTCTCCTGTGAAACTATCCAACTAATTAACTGACTTCGTGAAGTAGATTCTGAAGGGTTCTGACGAAGGTGTCTATAGCTCCGAATTACTTGGATTTTGGACTTTGCCCATCGTCCGGTATTCTGTCCCGGTTCTCATTGTGTCTTCGCTTGCGGATTTCGTATTTTTCCTTCTCCTCTGAAGATGGAGGCGATACGTTCCTCCGAAACGTCGGTTGTCACCACATCTACACGGTGCCACATCCTAGAAAGCATAACGTTTCGGAAACTGGATATGTTTCCGTCCTCATCTGAAGAGAGAGACATCTCCTGTGTTTTGTGTCTTAAAAAGAACCATTCTCGCTGGCCCAGTGATTTGAGATTTGCTCTTTCACCTAGCCGTTGCCTAACAATGAAATATTCCGACTTTCAGGCGTCATATCACAACATCAAACCCTCCGGGCACATCGTTTTATATAAATCTGTTCCAGATTGCGGCGTATGAAAATATGTAATCGAAAACCAACATGAAATTTAATACGAACATTTAAGACTGTTCATAAGTGCTGAAAAATACGCAGCAATTACAGGAGCGTGTTTATTACAGTCTGTGTACCGAGCCTTGAAGTCACGTCACTTTCAAGCAAAGATCAAAATGCATAGTATTAATATTTCGGAATTCAGCTCGTACATCACAGAGAACACCCTGCGTAAGTAAACTGTGTGGACTTTGCCGCTAAAACAGGTGATACATATGGCAACAACCGTGCTTCCAAGGCCCAAGAAAGAACCTGTATTTATAATTATCTTTTGCCACAACATATAGTGTCACAATGTCTGCACGACGGGAGGTAAAAGCAAGCGAAGTAAAACCAGATTTTGTTGCTGGCAGCCGATGGCAATTAACTTGTGAATTGCGAAGGACGTCCTCAGTTTCCTTCATGTATGCGGGAAAACCGACCTCAAATTATTTGACCCGACAACTAATTGAAGCTGTATTTTTTAACAAAATAAAAACCTATTGCGGTCTTATTTCGGAAATTCGAGAGAGAAATCAAAGAGAACCTCAGTTTAAAAAAGGGGAAAAAACACGTACGTTAATTCTGTCACAAAATATATTACATGGATCGCCGATTTGTATATTTAATTAAAGTTTTGCAGTTACGACTTGGGGAATTAGGAAAGTTTGGTGAAGAAATGTGACTGTAAATTATGAAATGGTGAAGGTGAAGATATTTTGTGCTTAATTAAGTACCACACTATGAAGACCCACGGAAAAGTGTTCTTGATCTCGGCACAAATAAAGTTTTCTCTATACTTAAATATGTAACGAGACACTATTCCATGGAGGATATGGTGGAGTGGAAGTACGGCGTCACCATTATTGACCTCGGCACTAAATGGAGTTCAGTGATATCGGAAGAGTTAAAATATTCCGTTTATCTTGCAATATAGTGTAGCACTTACACCCGTTGTTAAGTAATATAAACAACGTCCATTGCTAGTCAACGTTGGGGTAAAAATCTAATGTATACAACCGTTGCTGAGTAATGGTTTCGAAAACAAGCATATTCCCACGGCAACGACTAAACTATAATATTCGCCAGTCGACAAGGACGTAAGAAGTGGACATTGTTAGGATCCGTTACAAGGAAACGGCTAGTCAAAGCAAACTGAAATGATTTATTACGTGCTGTAGTGAACTGCTGAGTGTATGAATTAGCGATAGCGATACAGTTGCCTGTAGTCACATCTGTAAGTATTCATTAAATCGAGTCATAAATCCAAACCCCGTAAATAGTTACTCATACCCGTGAAAATACGTATTGTTCTTACATTTTTCAAGCCACAATATGAAAAACCCCGACGTTTAGTTATTAAATAAAGTTATTTCTTTAAAAATGTATAAGAAGCGAAGGTTTCAAGGCGGTGACTACGAAAGAATACGGTCTTCTACCTCGTGAAGCCGTGTACGCCAGAGACAGTCCGATTTTTCGGAAAAAAACATATAGCCTAGATCTTCAGGGTCGAAAGGTAATCCAACTAAGACACCAACAAGAGCAGATGGCAAGTTTCTTGCCCGTTGCAACGAGTACGCTGGAACGCCAATGGAGGCGCCACTTTACGGCACACACGTACGACAACCGCATAGTCCCGGCTTGTAGCATAGTGCTTCAACCAACTACGGTACTACGTACAGTTCGAATAAGCCACGAGCAGGGGCTTTGGGGTTCGACTAAACTACAGGTGTGGACTGCAGACTTACCGACAACGTTGAGCGTGATGACGTGGCTCAGCTTGGGTTCCGTGCTGACCTGGCACTCGTACTTGCCAGCGTCACGTGCTTGCACGTACTTGATCTGCAATGTCCACGTGTCGGTTGCCTCCACGAGGAAGGACTGGAACCGCTCGTCAGCGATGAACGTGTAGCGGTCCACGGTGAGGATGTGAGCGTCCCTTCGGCGGATCCATGACACCTGCAACACGAACCGTGGCTTCTCACACTGGTGCGACAGGCGGGTTGTGTTGCGGGGCAGTCTGCTCACAGGCTTCAAAGAACATCACTTCACAGTGACGCATTGTTACGTGCCCACGGAAAAGTTATTAGAGTCTGTTCTCAACTTTCGACGTTCATACGTAGACGAGGTTTTAAAACATTCTGGGTTACCTTTGTTTTTACTTTATTCAGTTTCGGTCTCACAATATATGTATAATTCAATATAAGTGCGCAGTTTCTACCATTACGACATGTTTCGACCATTACGTTTGACTGTCATCGGGTAGTACTTATACAGTCACACTCACCCCTCTGCTATTCCCCTTCTATTGGCCAGTGTTTACAATTGGGGAAGTCATGTAAGAAATACATATGTAGATGTTTACAATGTAGGTTTCTGGTTATGGATTTAAATAAATAGTGTAAAAATTATATAAACATTTGTCTTAGTGTTCCGAAGGGTAGGCGTTATTCGGAAATCAAACGTCTCTCTATTTTGCAAATATGGAAATATAACTTAATATATGTTATTACTGTTTCTGGCTAATAGTTCTCGCATCAGATGAGAGAGGGAGCGAGTGGCTGATGGCTGTGTAAAGAGAAACATTATCCCTGTGCTCAATTAAGCACCACGCCACAAAGACGTATGGGGGTGGCAGCAGACTGCCGCCACCTGCTCACGCTGGTTCCTCGCTCGCGGATGTTTCTACCCTGAAGATGGAGACGATATGTTCCTCCGAAATGTCTGTTAACACAAGATCTACACGGCGCCACATCCCAGAAGACGGCATTCTTCATAGTCAGCGCCGTGAAAACCTGAAATATGTTCTCTATACATCCCTTCCCCTCTCCAGGGATAAGAAACGACCGCGATGAAATACTTGATTAATAGAAGTGGTGCCATTATATAAACTCTGCAAACCAACGCCAGAGTATTTTCTTTTTATCGCTAGTGGGGTGGGACTAGGTCCCTTGTACTGCGTCCACTTCTGGCCTATTGTACCAGCCCCAGATGATAGGTGAGGGTGATTCTGGAGCAATTGGTGGAATGAAGATTGGCAGGGGAAACCGAAGTATTCGGAGAAAACCTGCCCCAGCGCCACTTTGTCCACCACAAATCCAACCTGACCAGACCCGGGATCGAACTCGGGCCGCCACGATGGGAAGCCAGCGACTGACTGCTTGAGCTATGGCGCGGAACGCAGGAGTAACTTTATAAATTCAGTTTTGCCATTAAGATGTTCCTCATTTCATACTTAGAAGCCTGAAGAAAGAAATACAGACAAACTGGGGCATACGAAGTCAGTCCGAGGATCGAAGTCAGCTAGGACCTGAGCAATGTTCACTAGCCTGGGTGTTCATGAACGAATTCGTTGATACACCAGTGTTTTGTGAACGACTGTGGACAATTACAGCCGACGTTTGATTTTCTGCTTAATTCAGTGGCAAAAGTTTAGAGACCGCCTAGAAATAAGTTTAATTTTGATTAATTTAAGTCGGGAGAACTGAAACCCATCCAAATAATGTACTCAAATTTAGTTATTATATCACAGAAAATATATTCCTTCTACAATACTAGGCCCAAACGGTTTATACTGGTTAGAAAAATACATCAAACCTTTACTAATCCGGTAACAGTACATCCGGATGTCTGATAATCCGGGTTGAAATATTTTTTTTTT